CTCCATTCTGCGGTCAGATCGTCCTCATGTCAAACTCTGATTTCTTCGTAGGTGAATCCAATAGAATTATAAATCAATATTCATGATTCATAATTACCTATCACTATTTCTTTTAAAATTGAAGAATTTACTACATTTTTTTAAAAATTATTTTATACAAAATCTTTGTTTGATTACAAAATACAAACATAAATAATTTCGCTCCATTCTGCGGTCAGATCGTCCTCAGGTCAAAAACTCTGATTTCTTCGTAGGTGAATCCAATATTATTATAAATCAATATTTCTGATTCATATTTATTATTATTTTATACAAAATCTTGTTTAAATCTTATGAGTTTGATTACAAAATACAAACAATAATAATAATTTCGCTCCATTCTGGGGTCAGATCGTCCTCAGGTCAAACTCTGATTTCCAATAGAATCATAAATCAATATTTCTGATTCATATTTATTATTATTTTATACAAAAATCTTGTTTAAAATCTTACGAGTTTGATTACAAAATACAAACAATAATAATTTTGTCTTATTGATTTTGTCTTTATATTGATAGTCAATTATATTTCAAATAAATTGGACACAACACCTGCATTCACAAAATGTAAATGTTTTACTCTGAAATTCAAATTAGGGAGCGCTTTATGTGTATGTGTGTGTGTGAGTGTGTGTATGGGTATCAAAGAAATTGATGAGGGTTTTAGGTTTGAGTTGCGGGTGGATGATCATCAAGGGTAAGGGCGATTATGGAACGTGCAATAATTCCGATGGAAGGTAATTCTGTTGGAAAATTGGCATCCGCACATAGAGGGCGCAACGCACGCACGTGCAAACTCCGAGGGGATTGAGCGAAACCGCGCGACTGGAAATTATATTAAAGTGCTCGCCTCTCGCATCCCTCACTCTACGTGTTATATATATATATATGTATGTATATGTACTATATCTATAGATGTACACTGTATATATATGCTATATAGGTCTATCTATCTGCACGGCAACGAATCATCTCTCCCTGCGGCTTAGTAGTGCACAAAACAAAGTTACATTTCGTCGGCACAAATTAAATTTTAACAGGGCGTAATTGAACGCGCTGAATGCTGCCGCCGCCGCCGCCGCCGCTCTATACGCTCCCAGCATTCCACGTATTTTAAGCTTAATACAGGGACCGCAAATAATTGTTACCCTCCTATGTTCGATCAACAGATAATATAAACTCTCTCTCTTACCTGTGGCTAAAACCCTCACCAACCCTCATCCGAAAACACGAGGCCGAAACGAAAACCACCCCACAACCCTCATCTCCTCTTACTACTACAACTGCTGCTACCACCACCTTCAACCCTATTCCTACTCATCCACCGTTAAATACTTCGCATATTCTTACCCTCCTGATTTAAATCCACTAAACAATTACAATTACAAAAAAAAAAAAAAAAACAAAAAAAAGTATCAATTCCACAATCTTTATACATTAATCATTTTCTTGCAAATTATTAAACTAAACTGAACGTACAAATGTAAGTATGTGGTAGGAATACGTGGATGATGCAAGGAGGGTGGGTTTTAAACGGTTCGGGTTGTCTCCCCGCGGAATTCGATAGGGATGAAACAGAAACACACAAAAAAGCAACAACTAAATAAATAGGAATAGTGACAGGACGAGCATTGAAAAACAAGCAGCTGAACAGTAAACGCGTGTGTTTTTGTGCGGAACATAAACAGGAGGGGTAGGTGGGTTTTTGGATGGGTAAGAGGACAGCGGACACGGGTTTTTACAGCATATTGTCGTAAATAAAAAATGCGCCGCTATTTAAAGTTGTGATGTCCGGGGTCCAGGTGGTTGTTCCCCAAGGATCGTCCGCGGGTCAAAACAAGTGTCAATCGATCAGAGAGGAGTAGATGTGTGTGTGCGAGAACGAAGGGTGGTTTTTGTATAGTAGTAGTAGTGGTAGTTTTTGCAGGAGGAGAGAAAGAGAGCGGAGAGGTGCACACCCTCCGCAACATTGAAATAAATGTAGACTCTTTCGGAATTTATTTCGGGCATAATTTATAAAGCCGGACTTCCTATTTACTGCCCTACGATCCCTTCATCCCCTTCCTACGCTTCGAACACATACACTACTACTACTACTACTCGCACATGCGACTCATTTATTATATAAAACTTAATTTTCTTTTTATACACACACTCTCTGCCTCTTTCCCATTCTCTGCTTCTTAAATCAATAAATAAATAAATTAATAATTGGATAATTTGGCAACGGAAATGATTGTTTTTTTTTTTTGTTGTTTGTCTTTCAGATGCCTTGACCAGCGCCGTTGGCATTGTGGAAGCTGTACTCTGAAGCGTCCATGTATCGATCGTGCTCGTCTTCGTGGATGGGAATGGTGTGAGTGTGAACTTTGACGCCGGAATCTCCGCCGTCCGATTGGAAGATCTTCTTCAGCGCCACGGATCCGACCATCAGAAGAGCAATTTTGCTTGCGATCAACGCTTTGCCGGCGATCAAAGCCAAAGTCTTCATGATGAGCGGCGCAGAGAGTCCGAAGATTCCCAGCAGCACCATCATCGTGTAGTGGAAGTACTTTCGCTCCTTCTTGCTGACCTTCATGCCGTGGGTGCCGTCCTTGAACCCGTCGCCGCTTCCGAGCTGCCTGGAGAGGTCGATGGACAGAGTGTGCGACTGCAGGAACCTCCCTATAACCGACTTCAACCTCTGCACTCCATGCGCGCTCCTGCCTTCGGCGCTCGCGTTCACCACCTCCCCGTTCCTCTTCAGCGTGACTCCATCGATGACGGGAATATCCCAGTTCAGGGTACGCTCCAACGCGTTCGCCGTCTTCTCCACCAGACAACTGTAGCTGACTTCACCCCGGAAACAGTCCAGGACAATCACATCGGCCTGCACCGAAACACCGAACACGAGGAAGATCATCACCATCGACTGCATCTCGACCCACAATAAACCAACGCTGGCCGCATTTTGCCTTTATATACCAGCAGAATATTGTGCGTGCCGAAGACCAGCATTTTCACGGTTTCTTTACCTCCTCGACATATCTCATCATCTCGCTTCGGCAAACAAAAAATCTTCATTAATTACTCCACAAATCACCTCTTTTTTCAACACACATACCAGATCGGACGTGCAGTTTTCTCCCACCCGAATGTGCGTTGCCAATTCAGATGTTAAATTATGCATCGCTTCGCAAAATTAAAAAAAAATAATCTTAATCACTGACCGAGATACGACCGGTGCATAATACTGGTAATTAGTCCTTCTTCTTGGATCGAACACGCGAACCTTCTTCCCAGCAGCAAAACGGGAAACCTCATTGTACACTTTGCGAACTAGGCTACACCGATTTAGAAGAACATCTTCATTAATAAAAAAAAAAACAACAACGCGAACAAGTGAAAATCGAAAAACCGCAAATCTCTTGGATCATAACATTATGCACTCATTGTACTAAGTTAAATAACATTGCAGACAATTTAGTTACGAAAATGTATGAATTACCTTGTATAAATGAAGAACATATTCAGCTTATTCTGCTTTTCACAAACCACAACAAATCTTCAGATCCTAAAGTTTAATTTATTAAATTATTGAGTTTATAAAATATATATGGAATTACCTTTAGTTTAATACTTGAAAAACTTTGATTTTTTAAAGAAATCAAATCAATTAAAAATAACAACGTTCATGAATCACTTTTCATCATCACTTGTCTTCTTCTAGTCAAGAAATATTAATGGTTTTTTTTTTTAATAGATTTCCTGAACGTTTTGCAAATCTTGATATTTATTTTCTGAAAAAAAAATAGAAACAAATTATGAATACGTTTGCTTGATACATCGTCGGCATTTCGAAACTATTTTTGAAGAGTATTTAAATAGATGCGTGAAACCTGTGATCATCCAGTTTCCTAATTGTGGACAGCTCGAGGCGGAAAATAATTGCGCGTGAAAATCCGTAAATCATCTAAGGCGTAAGAACAAAGGGAGCCGAGGAGAACGCACAAAGTAGAAAGCGGTAAGGCGATAAGAAGCGAAATTGGTAATTAGGAGTGTGTTCGGTCCATAAATCGCGGAGGCAATAAATAAAATTAATCGCGCGATATTTTTCGCAACCGAAGCGAAGAGTGTGTGTGTTTTTTTAATAACAAATATAAATATTTCCATCGATCGTCCATCAGACTGTAACCAATTGTTGGAGCTAATTATGAACGTGTGTATACATATTCATGCACGAGGATTATTCAATTTATAATTGCAACTATGTACAAAAGCGTTTCTTTTACTTCATCTCCTAGCATTAACATTGCAAATCGTAAATTATTCCCGTTGTTTTACGTAATTATCTTACAATTATTACATTTTTTTTTCTATGGTTAGTTTAATAAATTGATACGTGCGGGAGGAAATGATCGTTTTTCCAAGTTTAATAGCGATGACCTAAAGAACTACTTCACAAAGGAAAAACTCTCATTTCGTTGGAAAATATTAATGAAACGTTTAAAAGGAATTTGATGCGAGGAAAATAAAATTGTAAATGTACAATCAACAAATATATTTATATAGAACTAATCAGAAGTAGACCTACGTCTCGTTGTACTCGATGGTGGGATCGCAGAACTGATGGACATCGTCGTCGTACAAATCCTCCTCGTGGATTTCATCGGTGTTCAGGTAAGTGGGGAAGGGTACAGGGTTCGAGGGTTTCCTCAAAGGAAGAATGGTATCGTAGATGGTAACGATCGAGTTCGTGTCGCCTGGAACGTTCTGTCCGGACACGTACAGCACGTTGTACTTGGTGTTGATGCGCCAGATCTTCAGGCCCTTCAGAACCCTGTACCTGTTCCCCATGTGTCCGGGCATTTTCGTGCCAGGCCAAACGCGAGCCTTCTCACCGCCACCACCGATGTTGCCACCTCTTCTATGCGTTTTCGTCACACCGTGAGACGCGGGCATGCCTTTGAAACCGTGCCTCTTCATGACGCCCTGGAAACCTCTGTCGATGGTTTTACCGCGCACGTCCACGAAATTGCCCACCTGGAAATGCAACGCGTTGATCGGAGTACCTGGTGGCAGAGCAGCATCTGGACTGACGAAGAATCGAGCGAGGAACTTCTTGGGAATCACACCGGAATTCTTGAAAAGACCACAATACTCTTTCGTTAACAGCGACGGATCAGTGCCCTCCGCTCCTAACAACAAACATCCTTTCTTCTTCATAACCCTCGTTTTATTTGGCTGCGAATTTTCATATTCCTCCGGCGTATAATACTTAATTACATGATTATCCAAAACCTACAAATCAATTTAATTAATAAAAATCAAACAAATACATCAATTTATCTGACTTGAAGCAGAGTAGTGGTCATTTTCGTGCCATCCTTCATCCAAATAGGATAAATACCAATTTTTCGAGCAATCACTCCAGTCCTTTTAAACGTTGGCTGCCATTCTGCAGCGTTCGCCGCAATCTCCGAGAGCAAAGGAGACTCATCTTTGTTGCTGTATTTATCCTGAACCACTTCCTTAACAAACTCCTGGTTATCAGTGGTGATTTCATCGTTATGCACCTAAAACTCAAATAACATAACAGCGACAGTTCAAAAAACCAATCGACATAAACAACAACCACTTACGACACGGTGTTTCTTCGTGAACCAAGTGGGGTTCCTCAATCGAGGAGGCGGGTTCATAATATGTCTCTCCCTTATTTGAGTCCCACTGGCTGAAATACTGATTTGAGGTTATGTTGATGCTTGAATTTCGGTATTCCGGATGGTTTAAACTTACGATAAGGCCAGCAACTTATCCTCCAGGCTTTTCACGCACGTTTTACTCACTATATTGCTTAAAATAAACGCCATTTCGTTTACTTTTTATTTAAAACTATTGAACTTTTGTTATGAACATTAATTGAGGTTATTCCATCTCTATCTCATTGATACCAACAAGAAGAGTTCCAATTGGTTCCAATTCGAACTTGTATAAATAGGATTAAATTGTATTTAAAATGCAAATAAGAAAAATATCATTCGTTTATTTATTCAATCAATCAATTGATATTTATTAATATAATCATTTTGTACCAGTTTATACAAATAGAAATAAAAGATCTCATTGATACCAACAGAACCTTTGCCAACTTGAAATGAAGAAGAGTTCCAATTGGTTCCAATTCGAACTTGTATAAATAGGATTAAATTGTATTTAAAATGCAAATAAGAAAAATATCATTCGTTTATTTATTCAATCAATCAATTGATATTTATTAATATAATCATTTTGTACCAGTTTATACAAATAGAAATAAAAGATCTCATTGATACCAACAGAACCTTTGCCAACTTGAAATGAAGGAGAATTCCAATTGGTTCCAATTCGAACTTGTATAAATAGGATTAAATTGTATTTAAAATGCAAATAAGAAAAAATATCATTCGTTTATTTATTCAATCAATCAATTGATATTTATTAATATAATCATTTTGTACCAGTTTATACAAATAGAAATAAAAGATCTTTTATACAAATAGAAATAAAAGAAATTGTTTAAATTGACACCTGATTTAGTGGAAAAAAAAATATACATATATAGAGAAGATTTATAATCATCAATCATTAGATCAGAATGAACACAAGACTGTTTTTTTTTTGTTAATAATATAAAATTACACTAGAAGAGAGAAGGAAAACCAACGAACGTACGCGACGGCACTCTTCTTCAATTAATTATATCACAGATATATATGCGTGGATCTTGCTCTAGAAAATCTGTTTTAATAATATTTCATTTTCATTTCTTATTTTTTTTTACTTTCGCTCCGTTTCCCTAAATGTTTTGTTGTCTTTTATGAAGTATATATATGTATATGACTCTCAACCGTAATTATCTAAGTCGTCCGGCGGACGTATGTACTGTTCGCCGAACTTGGACATGTACTTACGCACAAACTCCTTGGCTTTCGCCTTCACGCTTTCCGTGCACGTCAGATCCTCGATCTTTTGGCAGTGCTTCAGCTCTTTCAGCATCACGAAATGCGTTAACTTGAATAGAAGGAGGAATACAAACACGTTAATAAATCGCAAAAATAAAAAATAAAAACTCTCACCTTTCTGGCCAAATGCTTGAAGTCATCGGTATTCGTGATTCGTCCTTGCTTGCAGTCTAATTTCCTATACGCGTTCAAGATACCGACCATCACTCCGGCCATATTCGACCTGAAGATCTCCTTGATCTTGCGACTCGCCTCGTTATTGTTGTCCATCTCTTTCAGCTTCGTCTTCACCGCCAACTTCTTCTTCGGTTTGACGCCGCTTGATGCCGAGGAGGGCGTGGAAGGAGGCGTCGACAGACTGGTCGTGGAGGACGTGCTCGGAGGCAACGTGGCCATCACCTTCTTGCTTTGCTGCATGATCATTTCCTTCTGCTTCCGCAGCTTCTCCTTATTTTGCTTGTACTTTTTGATATTCTCCTTAAACTGTTTACTGTCCTCCTCAGTTCTTGGCTGTAACAAGATCATCTCATTGAAAAAACTGTGTTATGTTATTATTAAAAAAAAAAATATATAAACTTACGCTAATAATTATTTCCTGAACCAACCCTATCCTGCGCTTCTTGACTGGAGGCGTATCCCTGAGAATGCCCAACTCTTCTATCCTCCGATCCAAAGACGATTTGTCCTCAGTTCTGTCATCGTCCTGCAGACTGGACTCGTCCAGATCATCGGGCATAATACTGTCGTGCGCCTCCGCCAGGCCGTGCTCCAGGTCATCGGGATCTCCGCCGCGTGACTTCAACAGCTTCTTCTGCGCTTCCATCCTGCTGAACTTGCTGCGGATCTCCAACATGAGTTGTTCATCATCGATGTCATCGCTGTCCGTATCCTCCGAACTCGAATCCGAGCTCAGACTGCTCGTGTCCGAACTCGACGTCGACTCTGAATCTGCAATAGAAACACAACAGTCACAACGTACATCACTAAATTTGAGATTCACACTCACAATATTCGACTTCTTCAGGTGGTAATTCCGGTGGCTCCCATTGCGATTTCCTAATCTTGACGTGGTAATAGTACGGTCTGCCGTATTTGTCCTTGGCGCATTTCCACTTTGCTGGTAGTTTGGCGGGCGGTGGTATGGGACCCATGAACGTCACCTGCGACGGGTCCTCGACTTTGTCGTGATATGGAAGCGTTGGCATTGGCGGTATATTGGGCATGGGCGGCATCGAACCCATACTTGCCTCGGCCATCGTAGGTGGAGCCACGATGGGCGGAACGAGGGCGGCCGGAATTCCGCTCGGCATTGGATGATTGATTGCGGTTGGTGGAAGACTATGGATGTTGGGCATGACGTGCGGCATCCCGTGCACTTGCGGTGGCGGTATAGAATGCATCTTCTGCGGTGGAGGCACCGACATGTTCTGAGGTCTAGGCACGAAGGGAAAATTCGAATTGGGCATCTGATTGAAGAGGACGTGCTGATCGGAGGACAGAGCGTAGTTTTGCCACTGTCCGATCTGCGGATTCCATATACACTGGTAACCACGATTCGGATCGTAGGGTGCCGTGAACCTAGGATCCGTGCCCATCATCATGCAGTGCTTCTCGTGTTGCCTCCACGACTCCCTCTGCTTTCTGCGTCTCTCCTCCTCCGCCTGCTGCTCCACCTGCATAGCAAACAGTTTTCTTCTCTCGTGCTTGCTTATCCTCGGATAAGAATTATGACCGGTCGAGCAAACGCTATTACCAGTTGAAGGTATCCTCTCATTCTTGCGGTTTCTGTCGCAATCCCCGAATCTGTTGGACGGACGATAATTGGACCTCGAATATCTGTTCTCCCTGCCCCTCTTTTCCTGATTCTCCACTTGCTCAAAGGCCATCGCCTTATATCTTTTATCCGCCTGCCTCTCGTGCTCCTTCATCTGTTCTATCCGCTCCTTCTTAGGGATCCTGAACACCTCCTTCAAATTGGCCCAGGTCTCCAATAACTTCGAAGCGAGAGCCAAAATATCCGCAATTATGTTCGGTTTGTTACCAGCTTCCTTCTCTTCGAAAGCAATCGGAGAAGCCTCCGCAGCATCATCGAAGATATTGATCAGTTCATCTGCTATATTCTTGAAATCGAACTCCTTGTACGTGGGTCGATTCACAAAGTCCATTCCTACGGATCTCCTGATCTCCTCCTCGTCGTCGTTCTCCACCGGTTCCTCTCTCTTCTCCGGCACCACCTCGGGCACCGGCTCCTGCTCCAACTGCGGTGAATTGCTTTCGGAATCTTCTGAAGATTCAGCCGGCTTTTCAGAAACCGACCACTTCTCCACGAGCGATAGCACCTTCGAATCCTGAAGCATCGTCTTATTGGGTATGGGCAGCGTGGATAACGTCTGAAGCGTTTCCAGGCGCATGTATTCCATATCGTTATCCTCGCTGGCCAACTGCTGGGCGTCCGTCATCCAGCCATGCATCAAACGCAACCCGTGGTAGTCCAAGAAGAGTCTCCTGCAGGGCATATCCCCGGCTTTGAGGATCGCTAGCAATTTCGCCCTTTGATTACTCTCCTTGGCGCGCACCATCAACCTGCTCAGCTTCAACGTATGCGCTTGATTCTTTAGCCCGGTCGTCTGCAGCGACGCTATTTCATCGTCCAGAGCAAGATCCTCGAAGATGTCCTTTCGCGTGATCTTCTTCACCTTCGCTTTCTTCTCCTTCTTCGGCGATTTCTCCTTCTGTACCGGAATTTCCGTTACTTCCAGAGTCTTCTCCTCGGCCTTCTCCTCTTCCTTAATATTCTCCGGCGCTACCTCTTCGCTGACGATCTCCTTGACCTTCTCCGAATCCAACTCAATGACCTTCTCGACGACTCCCTCCTCTTCCTCTTCATCCTCCTCGTCCTCTTCTTCTTCTTCATCATCATCAGGCTCTTCCCCTAGCCACCCTCTGCAGTTCGTTGCCTCGCAAAAACACTTCTGCGCTTCTTTTCTACAATAGAAATAAAATTAAAAAAATACTTATTTTTGTATACAGTTTAATAACATACCCGTATCTCTGAAATTGGTAATCGAATGTGACTTCTTCACCGGCTAAAATTGTTCGAGTGCTGAAAAATCCGATCCTGAGTTCACCTCCCACAGTCCATTTTTGGGTCTCGGCGTTCGGGTCGCACGAGTGGTTTATGAATCGCGAAATGTTACCTACAAGAATGTTACAAAATTCAAGTAATTATGTAAAGTGCAAATAATAAAGTATAAGTACCCTTTTGTGTTGCATCTATAACAGCGTCAGCTCTTAAAGACATGAAGTAGTAATGTCTATTTTTATCCTTGGAATAGTCGGCTGCCCTATCCTCAAACTCCTCCGGATCCAAAACTTCGCCAACATATTCCAAAATAAATTCTCCACTAAAATTTATAAAAATGTACGAGTTTAGTTAAATTTCAATTCCAGATCCTTGGATGACTTACTAAGGGATGTTTGCAGCAGCTCGAATGCCAAGACCTTTCTTCTCCGTCCTGAATACTTCGCACGGGGCGCTCTGTCCCTTCTGGAACCTCTTGTTCGTGCACCTGTCGTTCACCGTGCATAGATTTCCGCTAAAATAAACATAAAACATTGTTAATATCATTATGATTGAATTCAATTATAGCAACTTACCATTCAATCATGAGTAATCGATTCAGGCAATCCTCTCCACAGCCGAACTCACCCTGTTGGATTTCATCCTGCGTGAGGAAACAGTCGCATGTCATTTTCTTGGCCTCCTTGCAGCTGATCCTTTCCGTCAGATACTGATTCTCCTTGAGATGCACGAACTGCTTCAAGCGTCGTTCCACCTCTTCGTCGACTTCCATCTTCTTGTTTCCACTTTGGGCATTCACCACGCTACTTTCACCCAACGAAGAGGAGCTTCTGCTCGTGTTCATTTCCAATTCGCTGGTCCGTCTCCAGCGCGATTTGACCTTCACCGGTTTCGAGTCGACGATACTCTTCGTGGGCGCGACCAAAGCCGGTGAATCCCTCGAAGACTTCTCGTACTCCGCATTTCCCGAGTTGCTGTTATCCGAATTATCCGTGTTATTCGATTCCTTCTTCACCAAACCCTTTCCTCTCGCAGACTTCTTTTGGCTGCTTATCGTCTTGATGCGACTCGATCTGCGGATGGCTTCGTTCGCCAGCTCCTCGTTCTTCTTGCTCTGCCGCGAAGCTGCTGTTTGCTTCGGTGAAACCTTCACCACCCTCTTTTTCTTTACGTTATTGTTATCAGTCTGCTTCGTTTCTTGCTCCTTCTTCAGTTTCTTTTTGATCGCGATCTTCGGCGGATCCACCTTGGGCTCGTCGCTCTTCTCCGACGTGTCCGTTTCCGTCAAAACCTCCTCCTTTATCTCAGTTTTCACCTCCGCTTCTTCTGCAGGCTTCTCCTCTTCAGTTTTCATCTCCACCTTGACTTCATCCTGCTCATCTTCTTTAGCCACCTCCTTCGCCTTCACATCCGTGCTGGCCGCCTTCAACTTATCTCGCTTCAACGAAATCCTCTTACTCTTCCGACTCGGCAAAATCACCTTGGGTTTATCCTCAGTTTCGATCTTCAACTCTACCATCTCCTTGGACACCACCTCCACCTCCTTATCGTCTTCCATCTCCTCTATGCTCTTACTAATCGTCTCCAAACTTATTTCCCCTTTACCATCACCCATACCCTCAACCTCGTCGTCTTTAACTTCGCTATCAATCACATTGTCGTCTTTAACATCGCTGGTGATCACCTCTTCCTCACTACTTTTCTCCTCCAATTTCGATTCGCTGTCGTCCGTATTCGATGAGACCGAGCTACTCTTCACCTCTGAATCTTCGCTGGACACGTCAGAAGCAGTTTTTAAAATATCAGTCGTTTCCGAAACATCGGAATTTTCCACCGCATCTTCCACTGTCGTCACCTGAATTTCTGTTTCTTCGTTTACTTCCTCCACGTTTTTAACTTCATCATCGTTTTTCGCGCTTGCAATCTGAGCCTCGTTATCTGATAATTCGCTAGTGAAATTAGAGTCTTCCTCGCTCGCAACAGTCTCATGTTTTAAATCTTGCTGTTCTGCCGCATCTCCGTCTACAGTTTCTACGATCTCTTCCCGTTTGTTATCATCGTTCACGGATTCCTCGCTCGTCGTTATTTCTTCGCTATTACTAGTCATGGTGCTACTATCTTCACTGCTTACAGTTTCCACTATTACTTTATCATCTTGAGGTATACTTTCTTCTTTATCACCTGGAATACTTTCTTCAGAGCTTCCCATAATTATATCCTTACAAGTTTCTACTTCCATAACATCTAAATTCTCTGAATTTTCAATCATTTCCTCTTGAATTTCATCATTGCGTATTTGGATATGCTCCATTTCATCTGTTTTATTTGCTTCAACTGAAATATTTTTATTCAAAATAAACGATAAACTTCAATTATAACAAAATTAAGTTTAAAATACTTACTTTTATCTTGATATTCCTGTGTATCTTCAATTTTAGTGACTGTGTTTGAGTCCTCTTCAGCAATAATTTCCTCCTGTTGCACATAAAAATCTTCCTCGATGCAGCCCAGAATAACCTCAGACTCAATATCATCAGAATTGATCGCCTCTGGCTGCTCCTGCACCTCTTGTGCTTCACTTAATTCTTCACATTCAACATCTTTAATTTCCATGGTTTCAACGGGAGGCTCAAGGCTCTCAGTGCTTGGGGTGCTGCTGCTACTAAGCTCCTCTGCATCTGCAGAAGCAACTGCAACCTCCTCAGTGCTCACTTCATTCAGGCCACGAAACTTGCCAATCCTCTTTGTTAATCGGGGCTTGGGTTTCACTGCAGGCATCTTTTTCACTCCTTTCACTGGCAGCAATTGGGGCACTTCTCTCTTAATAAGCTTTCCCTGAGACCTGGTCTTCCTCGTCGATGCTGCTGCTGCTGCTGTTGTTGTTGTCTTCGGCGCATCCTCCTGATCCGATGATAGAGCTTGGGGCTGCTTGGCGGCTTTCCTCTTCTTGGGCCCCATTTTCCGATGCCGATGTATATTTTCCGTATTTATATATATCTATATCCTAACTAACTCTGCACATTTGGACACATAATTGGTATTGAACTAATCCGCGTTTATATACACACACAGCACGCAACTACGAACACATATTTTTGGTTTTGTTATGTGCATGTATTTTGATACATCCACAAATATATAGACTCCTGCGTTGTCTCGCTCAGATCTGGCTGCCAACGATTATGCAACCAACGGTGCATCAGATAATTAGATTCCTATTAGAGCTAATTTATGCCTTAATTGTTTCCTACTTCTATAATTACAATAAGTATAATTACGCGACTTGATGATCATTCGCAATAATTATATAGCAGTAGAGAAAACCGAAACATTAAAGTTTTCAAAATATGCACATCTTCTTCTAATACGAACATCATTATCTTCAGTACAATAAGAATGAAGGAAATAAATAAAAATGTATCATAGAAATAGTATATTATAGAAGAAAATCGCTAAACAAATATAATTGTTTACGATAGGCAACCAGTTGATCAATAATGATTTAGTATTCAAATTAGATAACAGCTTCGATGATATTAGTAACAATTAGCAACGAATGAAGATATTGAAACAAAATATGAAAACTGATTTAGTAATAGTAAACATTATCTTTGTTTTTGATACAAAATTAGATTGACTTGGAAAAGTTTTGAACTTTTTCTAGTTTAGGCCACCAATTGTTCAAAGAATTGAATTACAAATATTTCAGTTTCTTCAATTTCTTTTATTTACAAAAAAAAAAACAAGAAAAAAAATAATAATTAAATAACAAAATAAATAGGGCCCGCAATCTCTTGTTTTTTTTTTCAATCAGTATCTATAAGATATGTCTTTTTTTATGTTTGTTTGCAACGCAGATAAATTATAATAGTCTTATATTGTTTGGAATTGTCTAAATGTAGAAGGCAAGTGGGTTTTGGTTGTTACGTATTGCTTTTTTTTGTAATTTGTTATTATGTGTATACGTCTAAATATGTATGTATAATAGGGAAACATAGTTCTTGTATTGGCGAATACAAAACTAAAAAAAAGAAGAATAAGAAGAACTCACACATACAAATCACAAATTATGTACAAAAGAGAGGGAATTTCAGGTCTACCACGGTCGCTCATCGTCAATAGCCCCGCAATCCGTTGTATACCTTATTGTTAGTGCTTTGGTTCAAGATTCTCTTAATCTCTGCAAAGAAATAAAAAATAATTAATAAGTTGATAAGATTAGTTTATATAAGTTTGATCATACCTTCTTTGTCTTGTTCGCTGAATTCCTGTTTGGGGAACTCAACGTCGAACGTTATGTACAGAGTGCCTTGCAGATTGTTGTTATCGTAGTTGGGCATTCCTTCGCCCTTCTTCCTGATGCGCGCCCCAGGCCACGTCACTTTATCCCTAGTTATAGACACTAAATGTCCGTCCAAGTGCTTCAGCTCTAACGCGAAACCGACCAAAGCATCTTGCAAACTGATTGTAACGTTCGTGTACAAATCATCACCCTTCCTTTCGAAAACGGAATGCGGCTGCGTTTTAACTCTGAGAATCAAATCTCCAGCATCTCCATCGAGATGCGGTTCTCCTTCAGCTGTGAACCTGGTTTCTTGACCATCGACCATACCGGGTTCGATCTCCATCTCCAGAATCCGCTCCTCGTTCACCAGCTTCACGTTCGGACATTCGTCGCAGACAGTCTGCTGCATCATCTGGAATCGATTACCACCTAGATTTCGGGTGATCATCTCCTGTCTGCAGTTACATTTCCTAGTTCCCTTCGCCGCCTTCATCACGGGTTTATTCCTGGTGATCTCCACGAAAGTCCCCGTGTACAAATCCTCGAGAGTCACCATTACGTCCATCACGACGTTAGCACCTTTCGGCGTCTCGTGCTGCTGCTCGTTGTTTCCAAATGGAAAACCGAAATCTCCAAAGAAACTGGCAAACGGATCGAAGCCATTGTCCATCATGCCATCCTTTTGCAAGCAATCCTCCCCACACCTATCATATTTCTTGCGCTTATCTTCATCAGATAACACCTTAAATCAATAATTCAATTAACAAACTGTTCTATAGCATAGAAAGCTACAACAAATATGAATACCTCGTAAGCAGCTCCCAGATCTGTGAACTTCCTCGACGCATCTGGATCATCCTTGTTCTTGTCCGGATGCAACTCCTTCGCCTGTCTCCTGTAGGCCTTCTTCACTTCGTGCAAAGAAGCTGATTTGGTGACACCTAGGATTTTGTAGAAGTCTCTGCCTGCCAAGACCAGACTTACGGAGCACAGGACCAGCTGAACCAGCAGCAGGAATTGCCATTTGTTGAAATTCATGGCACTTCGTGGAATTTCGTTCTGCTACTTATTCATCAATGAACAGTCATCACCGAAAACCTATGAGAATGGATCAAACTCGAAATTTTTCGACAGCTCAACACATATACACCAGCACCACGACCGCTTTGTGCAGCAACTCTAAACTATGTGGATGGCTCTGATTGGTCGCACGACACGCACATTAATTCCATTGGTGACCAATCAACGCACAACAAATATTCAAACTAAATTAAAATTTTGATGCAGAATCTCTTCGCTTCTTCGCGATCCTCTTGAACGAGCTCTCATCCATTCAATCCTACCGAATTATCATGAAAATTATGTTGAGCATAGTTGGTTGCCTATAACAATATTTTAAAAATGATCTCAAAACTTTTAATTTCTTTGATAATCCATCAAAATTGTATGTTTTGATAGGAAGCAATACACAATCCAATTCTTAACTATGTACAATCTTTATATAACAACAATACTTCAAAATGATCAAGACTTTAAACCAAAATTGAATGTTCTTTCTATATTAGGCACTAATTTACAATACAACTCTTACCTGTGTACAAACTTTACATCTAGTTCTAGTATTATACTTGTTTCTTTATTTAATTATAATTATTTACCGCATGGCAATCTTAAATTCATAAACATTTGTACTTCTCATATATAAAAACAAGAATACATGACAGAATGTACACTTGATAGTTATTAGTAATGAAGCTATATTTACGTAACCATGGTGATAATAAATAATCGTCTCTTTGGTATGAAGTGACCAAATCATTGTTTTATTTGCGTAACCATGGTAAAGAAAGATTATCGTATCTACGGAATAATCTAATCTGTTACACTTCTGCCCGAATTAGACATAAATAATTGTTTAAAAAAATTCAAATTAAATTAAAATTTTGATGCAGAATCTCTTCGCTTCTTCACGATCGTCTTCAACGCGCTCTCATCCATTCAATCCTAGCGAATTATCATGAAAACTATGTTGAGTATAGTTGGTTGCCTACAACAATATTTTAAAAATAATCTCAAAACTTTTAATTTCTTTGATAATCCAACAAAATTGTATGCTTTGTGTCTAATAGGAATCAACAAGGCCGAAAAAGCAGTGTTTTCACATTTTAGTGATTTTCTCTGAAACCATTACTATTAATTTCTTTCATAATCCATCAAAATTGTAAGTTTTGATATACAATCCAAAATGATCAAGATTTTATTTTTTTTTTTGATAATCCACCAAAATTGAATGTTCTTTCTATGTTAGGAACTAATTAACTGTATACAAAGTTTACATCTAATATATTCATATTATTAATTATGATCTACACAAAATTTAAAAGTTCTTAAAATATATATATTTGTACTCATTATTACCGCTCCCTATTATAGTTGTTTATTTATTTAATTATAATTATTTAACGCATGGCAATCTTAAATTCATAAAAATTTGTACTTCTCATATATAAAAACAAGAATACATGACAGAATGTATACTTTATAGTTATTATTAATGCAAGCTATATTTACGTAACCATGGTGATAATAAATAATAATCTCTTTGGCGTGAAGTGACCAAATCATTGTTTTATTTGCGTAACCATGGTAAAGAAAGATTATCGTATCTACATAATAATCTAATCTGTTACACTTCTGCCCAATTAGACATAAATAATGACGTTTGTTTAAAAAAAATGCTTGTTGCCATACACATTTCGTTTTAAAGATATTATTTTTAAATAAGATATGCACATTTTCACACACAAATATACATTACTAATTTCGATTAAAGCATGTTTATTTCTTTCCTTCTTTTCTTATCGGAAAACTTTTATATTTTAATAGATTTCGTAGATTATGATTGCGTTATTATGTTCTTATAAGATTACTTTTTCATGTATTTGTAATATGTTATCGTAATGGATATGACATGTAAAGTAAAAAAATATGGTCTAAAATGTTATATTTTTTAAATTGAATTTCTGTAATTACCAGCAACGAATAAACAAATTATACAATATAAACAAACAAAAAATGACTTTGGAAAGTAACTGAAATAAGCAAATTAATGATTTGCTTCTTATCCGTAAAGGAAGTAGTTTGTAGTTTATGGATAAACAATATATGGAGAAGGGGCGGAAAAGTCGTGGGTTTCGGATAACGAATGGATAAAAAAAAAAGCTAGTACGCAGATACAGCAGCAGAGCACATACAATGAAACGGTAAGTGTAAATTTGAATATTGGCGGAAACGCGGAGACGCCGTGCGCCGCGACGCTCATTTATCGAACGCCGGTCCGTGAGCGAAGGGATGATGAAAAAAATGATATATCTAGAGTGTGTGCGAGAGAGAGAGAGAAAGAGAGTGATAAAGACGTGGGGTTGGAGGAGGAGGACCTTCATCCATGCAATCGGATGGTCCATCCATCCGAGGAGGGCCTTGCACGCGCGATGTTCATCCTCCGATACCAAAATCATCTTATAAACGCCCTTCTCGAAATGAGCTGACAATCGCTTCTTCCTGTCTACCATCGCAGAGACTTAAGGTAAAACAAACAAACAAACAACCAAAAACAAAAACCGAAACAAAAAAAAACAGAAACAAAATCCAATTAGCAGCGGCGCCTTCAATCCGAGTCCCGAATTTCCACGCCTTCCACTATTCCGTTTATTCATCATCCTTTATCTTAAGATAAGATCCAAAATAAAAACGAATTCCGTAAAATCCACGGCTCCGCGATTATGTACTCAAATATTTTTTTTTTCAAAATTTCTTTCCTCGAAATATTTCGTTGACGAAACCGTTTTATCTCTCATTGCTCTTTTTGCTTTTTTTAAATTCTTTTCATTTCGGTTAAAACAATACGAATATTTTTACAACTCGTTAATGCGCTCACATTGTTCTGGTTTCTACGCGAAACGCAATTTCGTTAAACGTAAGTAACTTTAATATATATATATATATTTTCCATTTTTAACATCCCCATAAATTGTCGATAACATTAAATCGAACATTTAAATGCTAAATGGAAATTTTTTTGTTTTTTATTTTTTTGTATATAGATAGGGATTAGTATTAGTTACCTTATCTCTTAATTATGAAACCACTTGATGTAGACTTGACTTAAAAAAAAGTTCTATAAAATTATTATTTTTTTTTTCATAATTACAGACACGATTTAATGTTCATCGATCATTTGCGCACAATGTCGGTGTAAATCTATATTTATTTTCGTTTTCGTAGTCGGAATTAATCGGATCGATATGCATTATGCCTTTACATTTTATTTATCAGTAGTGAATTAGCCAGCTATCGAGGTGTGCGTATTTTCTAATCAAAACATACGAGTGCGTTTGTTTCATAAACAACTTGATGTATACAAATTTTGTTTTATAAACATTTAATTGTTTTAGTAAACTACTGAAGATGTTTGACAATGAAATATATTGTATTTATTGTTTCAGAGGAGATACTACAGATGATCGGTTGGAGATGCAGACGTGGAGGCCCCAATCGGTGCTGTGGCTGCTTTTCATAGTGGCAGCGTGCAGCCTCCTCTTCGTCTGCAACATTCTGGAGATACGCACGTACACCATCAAGACTGCGTACTTCCTGCAGTCGTCGCCGAGGGTGCAGGAGGAGCTGAGCATGAAGGGCTTCTTCATCCGAACACCGGGATGCACCATACCGGAGATGCGAGCGATGGACGACTCGATCAAGAAATACATCTTCATGGAGAAGAGCGTGCTGTGCAACAACGGCACTCCGCCTCTGATAGATTCGAACAGGACATCCATTTACTTGTTGGAATCGTCGCTGGAGTACTACAATCTGAACGATACGGAGCAGCTGACCTGCTGCTACCAAGAATTCCATCGAGTTGCTCCGGGTCAATCCAAAGATGACCGCGTCGATTTTGGTAAAGAGTGCGTCCCGTTCGAGGTTTGGACAGATATAGAGCACGAATTTATACGGGTGAAATGTTTCCACAATAGGTCTATGATTTACAAAGATTTCTTTTCGTTTGTACCTGCTAGAAACGCTTCGAACGTTGGAAAGGAGAAGCTCAACGTTCTGATCGTTGGCATCGATGCGGTGTCGAGACTGAATTTGCATCGGCAGATGCCGGAGACTGTGCGCTTTATGAAAGAGCTGAAGAGTTACGAGATGATGGGCTACAATAAGGTCGGGGATAACACGTTTCCGAATCTGATACCCGCGTTGACGGGGATGAGCGAGGATGAGCTGCAGAGGACGTGCTGGAACGCGAGCACGCATTTCGACGAGTGCCCGTTCGTTTGGAAGGACTTCAAGGATTCCGGTCGATTGACGGGGTTCGGTGAGGATTCGGCCTGGATGGGTCTGTTTTATTACACGAAGAAGGGTTTCAGGAGGCAACCGACTGATTACTTCTGGGATCACTTCGATATGACGGCCGAGAAGGAAATCGGAAACATGCACAGATTGAACGTGGATCAGTGCGTCGGGGCGAGGCTCGTGCACAAGGTGTTCTTGGATTACATCTCGAAGTTTGCGGAGACGATGCGCGTCAATCGGTTACCCTATTTCGGGTTCTTCTGGGGCGCGAGCTTGACTCACGACTTCTTGAATAAACCCAAGCTGGGCGATAGGGATTACGTCGATTTCTTGAAGATGCTGAACGCGAGTGGGACTCTGGATGACACGGTTTTGGTGCTGATGAGCGATCACGGGATCAGATGGGGCGAGATCAGGAGCACGTATCAAGGACGCATGGAGGAGAGACTACCGTTCCTGTATCTGCGATTCCCTGAGAGTTTCGCGAAGCGAAACCCTTTAGCTATAAACAACTTGAGGACTAACGTGAGGAGACTGACCACGCCGTACGATTTGCACGAAACCCTTCTGGATCTCGTCGATCCCAAGAAGTTGAGAGACGATTCGATCCAGGAGCGGAACGTCAGCAATCAGACGACGAGGCGGGCGTACAGTTTATTCGATAAGATCACGACGAACAGGAGTTGCGAGAGCGCCGGAATATCGGCGCATTGGTGCACGTGCCAAACAAGTGAAAAGGTGGACGTGGGTGATCAGGTGGTGCAGGAAGCGGCCAACCACACGGTGAACGAGATCAACGAGCTTCTTGTAGGGTACGCGGACTGCGTTTATCTTGAACTCGAAGAGGTCTTGGACGCAACGGTACAGATCAATACGGATGTCATCATGCAAGGCACGCAGAACCAGGACTACACCATCACATTCAGGACTCGACCCAGCGCCGCCGTCTTCGAGGCGACAGTCCGAAGGATATTTCTTCCCACGAACGAGTACCATTTCAACGTGACCGGCACCGTCAGTCGCATCAATTTGTACGGCAAACAGAGCCTCTGCATCACCGACTTCCACTTGAAGCTTTACTGCTACTGCAAACAGTATATTTCCAACAACAACAACAACATCAATCCAATAATCGATTAGCTTTTCAATTGTAAATGAGAGGCGATATTTTTTTAACTTTTTATTTGTTCCATGAAACATTTATACGATTAATGTTATTTAAGCAAGGGGAGAAACGATGATGAGAGAAGAAAATCTGTGATTTTTTGAAATGATAGTTAATAAAAATATATATATATATGTATACTTACTTGTACGCGGAATATTTGTAAATAACATTTACCCGAGAATAAACTTGTTGTTTTTAGTTGACAATAATATCCTTTTTTCTTTCTTGTTCTCTCCCAATCCAATCATGTTCTTTATAAATCTGTAGTGCAGAACATCGGATTTCGAACAATTCAGTTTCCGAACTGTCGTGTCCCAAGGATGGAAATCTGGACGCAGTGGAATATCTTCTTCTGGTGTTGTCGTTGTGCAGTCTCAGTTGTAGGAATTAAATAATTCAATTGGTTTAAAACAAGTTTATTATAGTAATTGGTACTTTTGGGGTTCTTTCCAAGACAATGTAGATACTTTAGAACAGTGGTTTCCAAACTTGATGTTACTACGCGCATTACAGCAATATGGATAAGAGCACAGGAATGTATCTATACTTACTATACTGGATTCCCCAAACATTCAGCT